CAGTGAGAAAGTTTGCATGGCACTGCCTCCCCGTTCCGTCACACCCCTCACACGTTTCGTGCTTCGGTAGGGAGCTACACCGAAAACCGCAGCGGGAAAGTTTGCATGGCATCGCCGCCCCATTTCGGCACACCTCTCACACGTTTCGTGGTCCTATGGGGAGCTCCACCGAAGGCCCCAGTGGAAAAGTTCGCATGGCACCGCCGCCCCATTTCGGCACACCCCTCACACGTTTCGTGGCCCCATAGGGAGCGCCAGCGAAGGTCCCAGTGGGAAAGTTCGCATGGCACCGCCGCCCTATTCCTGCACACCCCTCATACTCTTCGTGGTACCATAGGGGTCTCCACCGAAGGCCCCATTAGGAAAGGTCTCATGATACCGCCTCCCCCTTTTTCGGCACACTCTTCACATGTTTCGTGGTCCCAGGGGGAGCTCCGCCTCAGGCCCCAGTGGGAAAGTTTGCATGGTATCGCCTCCCAATTTCGGCACACTCGTCACACGCTTCGTGGCCCCATCAGGAGCTCTACCTGGGGCCCCAGTGGGAAAGTTCACATAGCACCGCTGCCTCTTTGTCGGCACGCCCCTCACACGTTTCGTGGCCCCCTGGGGAGCTCCGCCTAAGGCCCCAGTGGGAAAGTTCGCATGGCACCGCCGCCCCATTTCGGCACACCCCTCATACGTTTCGTGGCCCCTTAGGGAGCTCCACGGAAGGCCCCGATGGCGACGTTCGCGTGCGTCTGCCCGACTCCTGTCGGCACACCCTTCACACGCTCCGTGGCAGAAGGCCGTGCCGCCTGCGCTGCTGAGAGTTTGCTCACCCCCTCCTCCGCCTCATCTCTCTCGCGGCGCCTGGGGCTGGGCAGCCTGCGCAGAACACGAGGTGCGGGCCGCGGGCCTCTCCTGCAACAGAGGGGCCGCTCCACAGCTCAAACCACCGCACGCGATCAGAAGGCAGCGCAGGGAAAGGGTGGAGGAGCTGGGCCAAGTCGCACCGCGCAGAAAATCCCACCGCACCCCAGGACAGCGTGGAAAGGGGGGGCCCATCCATGTGGAAAGGGGGGGGGTCCCAGAGGTAACGCTGCCACGGGCTGCGTGCGTGCGCCTGGTATCGCGCAGATGTTGGCGCCAGAGTCGGGTAGAACGTGGGCGACGGCGTGCAAGCGCCACTCCAACATCACATCAGTACCGAGAGCAAGGGGGCCCAGGCGCAGGCGCCGCGGGTTAGGGACGGCCGCGCAGACCGACTCGAGAACCAGGCTGGACGGGCAGGCGGCTGATGGGTAACTCCCGCGCAGGAGGCCCCCGGCGTATGGCGAGACCGCAGGGCGCGGCGGCCGAGACGAAACAATGCGCTCAAGCGAGGGCGCGACTTTGCGCACGAGCGACAAGAGCGACAAGAGCGCGTGGACTTGAGGGATCCAGCAGCCAAAGGGACAGCAGCACCGCCACACCCCCGCAGGAAAGGGGGCGGGAGAGTGTCCACGACAGCTCTGTCCCCAGCCACCGCAAGACCAGATTGCCCAAATCGCGCCACGGCACGCAAGCCCTCGATCCTCCATGGCTGGTGGCGCGCCTCCTGGTCGCAGGCGTGGCCCCGGGGCGGCCGGGCGCGATTTCAAGGGTGTGTCTTGCAGGGATTGAGCCGCCTCGCCTGGCCACCTTGTTCAGTCGCGCCCACGAGGACCCCCACGCCGCGCAGGGTGGACGTCGGCGGCGGACACCGGCGACGCCGTCGACGTGGCGGCGCACACAGAACGAGCACGCACGCGTGCGAAGTAAAACGTACAGCCCGCGCGCGCTTTGGACGGGCACTCACGGGACGAGATACGGGCAGGAGTGGCCCATCATTTTGTGACCCTGCCTCCCAAATCCACATCTTTCGGGTTCGGCGAAGCAGGAGTGCACCCAGGCATATCAAGGGCATGGGCAACATACGCAAGCACGCAGTGATCGAGCAACATGCCCGAAGGCGCACCTGGAACCGAGGTGTCTTGCTGACGGCACGGCCTTAATTGCATGATCGCCTGCGCTCGTGAGGCCCGGAGGTCGCCAGGTACCGACAGGCAGCGGCGCATTCGGTGTTTTTTTTCGCCACGTTTCCACCAATACGATTCGTCAGGCTGTCCGAGGGCGGCAGCACCGCAGGACAGGCAGTGGGATGCCCCGGTGAGGTTGCCTAGTTGCCCGCTCGAGCCAAGCAGGCCGCCGTGCACCCGCAAAGAGCAGTCGAGATTGCTGAGTTCCCTTTTCTTGGATGGTCGCCTCCGCATCAGCAAGAATCTTGCGCGCCGTCCTTCGGCGCCTGTCCGCGCGACAAATTAGCACAAGAAGCTGGCGGGACCAGTGCGCGGAGCTCACACCAGGGGCCCAGTAACGAGGTCAGCTTCTCGATCCTAGTGGCCAGGGTGGCCAGCCCCCGCGCGTAACTAAAGTGTCTGGCCGCGCCCCAATGTGGGGTCCCCGTGGGTACGTGCGATTTGCCGCGCCTGCCTCAGCCAGCTTGACACTGCCTGCTCGTGCTGGGCCCTTATGTTAAACCTGCCGTGGCTCAGGGGCAGCAGGGCGCCATCGCCGCCGTCGACAGGGGGCTGACCGAGAATAGGCGCCGGAGCTGCGGCTGCGGCCGCTTGGCTCTGGACATGGGCCACGGATTGCAGCCGGCTGGGCAGCAGGCTGCGCGACAGGGCGCTGGCGACTGGGGCGCACCCCCTTCTGGTGTAGAGACAGTGCCGCGCGTGCTGTGCCTAGACGGCCGTCGCGCAGAGCGGCCGCAGTGACAGACCGCTTTCCATGGGCACCCCCTCTGGTGTCGAGCAAGTGCCCTGCCGGCCTGGCCTAAGCGACCACCGCGCAGAGCGGCCGCGGCAAGAGAACACTCCCTGCGCAGCCCTTCTGGTGTCGAGAGAGTGCCCTGGCTTGCTCGGACGTCGACGCGAGGCGCGCGTAGCGGCCGCGGCGAGAGACCGCGCCCCTGTCTGGTGTCGAGAAGGTGCCACGCCCGCGTTGCCCTGGACGAGAGGCGCGCCTAGAGGCCGCAATGAGAGACCACCCCCTGCGTATCCCCTCTGGTGTTGAGAAAGTGCCCCGCCAGGTAGGCCCTGGACGCAGGGCGCGCCTAGCGGCCGCGGTAAGAGACCACACCCTACACCCCCCCCTGGTGTCGAGAAAGTGCCCCGTCTAAATTTCCCTGGGCAAGAGGCGCGCGCAGCGGCCGCTGTGAGAGACCACCCCTTGCGCACCCCCTCTGCTGTCGAGACGGTGCCGCGCTTTCTTTGCCCTGCACGCGAGGCGCGTCTTGCGGCCACGATGAGAGACCATCCCCTGTGCACCCCCGCTGATGTCGAGAAAGTGCCACGCGTACTATGCCCCGGGCAGCAGACGCTCACAGCGGCCGCGGTGAGAGACCACCCCCCGCGCATTCTCTATGGTGTCCTGCTGTCGAGAAAGTGACACGCCTGCTATGTCCTGGACGGAGGCGCGAGCAGCGGCCGCAGTGAGAGCTCACCCCCTGCGTACCGCCTTTGGTGTTGGAAAAAAGCTACGCCTGCGGCGCCCTGCGAGTCTTGCGGGTCTGTGTTGTGTAGTGTGCGTGTTCAGTGTACGATGCGCGTGCGGCTGTATTTGGGCATGTGTTTCCTGTTGGTGCTTCCCTTGTGGCGCCTACGTCGTGGGTGTCTGATGCAATGAACACGCCAGGCGTGTATTGTCGGGGTTGCGACGACCCTACAAAAGCTGTCTGTACGCTCGTGCCTCCTGTACACGCTCTGCGTTACGCGTGGGCAAGGGAGATAAGAAGAAAGGAAGGAAGGAAGGAAGGAAGGAAGGAA